ACTTAAACCAAGTGTTAATTGCCCCCTGACAATACATTTAATCAACAGTTTGTTATCCACAGCACGTCTAGTATTTCTGGATTTCAAGGTGAAATTGAGAGGACAAGATTGAATATCTGTATCGGTTGGCAGATTTCTTCCTGGAATTTGAGGAAAACAAGTCGGCACATTTTTACAGTATGCAAATTAGAATAACACTGTAGATAAGTTGGCCGGAACATTTTTGCTGAAAATGTTTTTCCCCAAAAAACGCTTGGTTGAATTCTCAGAGAAGCGATATTTTCTTGTCAAGGGGCACAGGTAGTCTAGCATTATTGGAATTAATTATGTGACTAGTATATGCTTTGCAGGTGGGATTTGTACTTGCCTTATTCGAAAAAGATCTTTAGAAGTGAATGGAATCATAACATTGTCAGTTGTTAAACCCCGGCTTTTGCAGGTCCTATGCAACCCATTTGATGGGCGACGCACGACGGGCGACGCACGACGGGCGACGCACGACGGACGACGCACGACGGACGACGCGTGACGCACGACGGACAACGCACGACGGAAAATGGCATGTTTGGAACTGGTAAATGGCAGAATTGGGACACAACAAAAATCAAAATACGACGGGCGACAGCAGATATGGAATTCCATAGCTTGCGTCCCTGACCCGGCCGTGTACCCGGCGCTGCCTTCATGCCTATTCAGTTAAATGTACATGTATGTTATGGCACGAATCAGTTATTGCAGATTAATATCTATTGTGTAGCCATGTTTATTTTTGAATGAATACTGTGTAACAAATTTTACAAGTCCGCCTGCCCAACTCCTTGCAGGTAGCCCCAGACGAGACTCGGGCCTGACTATTGCATACAATAAACCCAATAGAGGGAAGAGAGGTGAACACTGGTTGTACGTACGTCTACTCGTGAACCTGTGTGCCTCCCCCCCCCCTTTTTCCTCCGCCCCCCTTCCACCGGCCCGGTTCTCCACAGAGACAATAACACAGTGCAAGAAAATTAAGACATAATAATTAAATACAAGGACATGTACACTGAAATTACAAATAACAACGCAATAGTTCATTTAACAAAATTATGCCAAGAAGTGAGAAACGTTAACTCAATAACTGTGACTTGTTGGCCTCCCTTTCCAAAGCTGGGTATACAGAATTGACATGAACATGTACACACTGTGCAATAACGTCAATTAAGCGACATAACTTACTCACTTTAGTCTGTTACATGGGGGGTATAGTGCCAGACTATTTTGAGTTTCGTTCCTTTTTTAAAAATATGGCTTAAAAGGCATGGATATAATTAACCACAAAGTCCAAATCATAAATTTATGTCATAAATGACATAAATTTTTATTGCTTTAATTTTTAT